ATATATATATATATATATATATATATTATATTAATATATAAATATATAAAATTGATGTGGGTACTCAAATGAAAGGTCTTAATGAGTGTAACATCAGAATGAGCTTATTTTTTGAAAAATATTAATAATTAAGAAATTATATTGTATTTTCTCAACTTATGATATTTTTAAAGATATAAACTCATCATGATGTTACACTCATCAAGACCTTTCATTTGAGTACCCACATGCTTTTTTATATATATTTTTCATATATACATGTATGTAATATATATAAATATATAAAATATATAAAAAATTGATGTGGGTACTCAAATGAAAGGTCTTGATGAATATAACTACAGGATGAGCTTATATTATATCTTTAAAAATGTCAATAATTAAGAAACTATATTGTATTTTGTCAACTTATGATATTTTTAAAGATATAAGCTCATTATGAGGTTACACTCATTAAGACCTTTCATTTGAGTACCCACATGCTTTTTTATATATATTTTTCATATATACATATATGTAATATATATAAATATATAAAATATATGAAAAATTGATGTGAGTACTCAAATTAAAGTTATTGATGAGTGTAACATCGGGATGAGCTTATATCTTTAAAAATGTCAATAGTTCTCAAGATACAAGATTATTTCTTAATTATGTATTTAGAAATTCGGTGAGAATGAAAAATCTTGAAAATACACTAAATTTCACTTAAAAAAACCAATTTTATCATATGACAATCCTGGAGACAAATTTTTCTTATTCTCTAAATAATATAGACAATTGATAAAAATGATAATTCAATAAAATTATCTATATTACGGATAATAATTATAATGAACCTTGCATTAATATTCTATGACCTCTGTACTGTGTTCTTACACTAATATCGTCACGTTAAGTTAATGTCATTCATAAGTGGACTAAATAGGATGTCACAAAGTGGGGTCAAACGTTAAACTAATCGAGCAATAAATTTCTCTCGAAAATAATAATTTTTATTCTTTATTTTTAATTTTATCTCCACAATTATCAAACCCGTTGATTAATTATATATAATTGATTATTAGCAAACGATAACGATTTTAAAATAAGTAATAAGAAGTTTGCATAACTACCGATAAATTATAAAACGTTTAAATATTAATATAAATACAGACAATTATTTCATCATCACATCGGCGCTAATAACATTAGATACTACGAGCCAATATTAGAATGACGATTTGAAGAATCATTCTCTTGTTATCACAAGAATGCCGGCCGGCTAATTTAAGAATATAAACGTATATATAAAGTTCACCTGCCAGTTAAAAACCAAGCACGATAAGATTATCTACACTACAATTATACTTATAATTTATTTCATTTGATTAACTATGTCAATATAAAATTTACGACATTAATATTAAAAATAAATTAAATTTTACGATAAAAAAAAAAAAAAATAATCTACTGTAACCTAAATACAATTTTAAACAAAATAAAAAATATGAAAATTAATTTAACAGATATTTTATAATTTTAACAATTTTTTTAACAAATAAATGTCAAAGAAAATTAGAAAAAAAAATTGACATTTAGATAATTAAAAAAACAAAAAATGCAATTTTTTATAAAAATGAAGTTAGCCGACATTTCAAAATTTTTAAAAATTTTTTAATTAAAAGATTAAAAAAAAAAATTGTCACAAGTAAAAAACTTAAAAAACTATAAGTGCAATTTTTTTAAAATATCTTTTTAGTTGTAATTTAATTTTTATTAAACTTTTTTAAAAATATTTTTTTGTTCTAATTTATAACAAAAATATTTTTTTATTCTAAATTATTACTAAAAAAACTGTTAACTGTTAATATAATAAAAAATTACGTAGAATTTTTAAGTTAATTACAAAACACATTTCGGATTTATAAAACACTTATCATGAATGATGACCAAGATACAAGATTATTTCTTAATTATGTATTTAGAAATTCGGTGAGAATGAAAAATCTTGAAAATACACTAAATTTCACTTAAAAAAACCAATTTTATCATATGACAATCCTGGAGACAAATTTTTCTTATTCTCTAAATAATATAGACAATTGATAAAAATGATAATTCAATAAAATTATCTATATTACGGATAATAATTATAATGAACCTTGCATTAATATTCTATGACCTCTGTACTGTGTTCTTACACTAATATCGTCACGTTAAGTTAATGTCATTCATAAGTGGACTAAATAGGATGTCACAAAGTGGGGTCAAACGTTAAACTAATCGAGCAATAAATTTCTCTCGAAAATAATAATTTTTATTCTTTATTTTTAATTTTATCTCCACAATTATCAAACCCGTTGATTAATTATATATAATTGATTATTAGCAAACGATAACGATTTTAAAATAAGTAATAAGAAGTTTGCATAACTACCGATAAATTATAAAACGTTTAAATATTAATATAAATACAGACAATTATTTCATCATCACATCGGCGCTAATAACATTAGATACTACGAGCCAATATTAGAATGACGATTTGAAGAATCATTCTCTTGTTATCACAAGAATGCCGGCCGGCTAATTTAAGAATATAAACGTATATATAAAGTTCACCTGCCAGTTAAAAACCAAGCACGATAAGATTATCTACACTACAATTATACTTATAATTTATTTCATTTGATTAACTATGTCAATATAAAATTTACGACATTAATATTAAAAATAAATTAAATTTTACGATAAAAAAAAAAAAAAATAATCTACTGTAACCTAAATACAATTTTAAACAAAATAAAAAATATGAAAATTAATTTAACAGATATTTTATAATTTTAACAATTTTTTTAACAAATAAATGTCAAAGAAAATTAGAAAAAAAAATTGACATTTAGATAATTAAAAAAACAAAAAATGCAATTTTTTATAAAAATGAAGTTAGCCGACATTTCAAAATTTTTAAAAATTTTTTAATTAAAAGATTAAAAAAAAAAATTGTCACAAGTAAAAAACTTAAAAAACTATAAGTGCAATTTTTTTAAAATATCTTTTTAGTTGTAATTTAATTAATAAAAAAAATAAAAAATTTTTAGACGTCTGCTACTTCAGTGTCATAATTTTTTAGAAATAATTTTTCGGAGCAAATTTATTTATTGAAAAAAATTAAAGAATGCTCAAGAAAAATATTTTTTTGTTCTAAATTATTACAAAAAAATTTTTATTAAACTTTTTAAAAATATTTTTTTGTTCTAATTTATAACAAAAATATTTTTTTATTCTAAATTATTACAAAAAAACTGTTAACTGTTAATATAATAAAAAATTACGTAGAATTTTTAAGTTAATTACAAAACACATTTCGGATTATAAAACACTTATCATGATGATGACCATCGTCCCCCCCCCCCCTTTATTTAACAGCCTCTCAACAGATATGATGTCATGTCTAATAAAAATTCCAGCGATAAATCTGTAAACCTGGCCTTGCTTATTTTCAACTAAATGTTTATTTTGTTTCAACACATTCCATTCAATTTTACTACATTTAAATAAATAAATAAATAAATATATTTGTTTACTCTCAATAGCAAAAATTTTGCTCTCGTTAGCACTAATTTAACCGAGTAATTATCCAGCATAATTAAGCCCATTGTATATATGTAATGTACAGGATAGACGTTATGTACATTTGCAGATTGACTTACGTAATTTAAAATTATTACTAGTATACGTTGCGCGCGCAAGCGCGCGTGTGAATGTTGGTATGGAATTATCTATATTTTCATGCTTATGATATGTTTGACCAATCACGTTACGAATAAAATGTCTTCATCAATGTATATTTTCATATTTTTCATCTAAATTATAAGAGTGGATTATTTTACCAAAGATATATTATTTCAAGTTATATATAAATCCATTAAACCATTATTTTTTTTCAGCTCTTTGCAAAGGTAATCAAGTGTAATTGAGCTCATTAATTTGTCGGTAACAAGTAACTCTGGAAAATCGATATTTATTATAATAAATGAGGTTTACACTGCCAATCATACTAACTAATCCTTGTGCTGTATCTCAACCAGTCAAGTCCTTCAAGCTTAAAGAAAATAATCTCAAGGAATTTTTTAAAATTAAACCTTTTAATTATTGAGTGTTTTTTTTTTTTTCATTTATTCGAAAGGTGTGGCGTCGTTAAGTGTAACAATGGGATGTTGAGAGAGTAGTGGAGTTAGAAAGGACGGAAATGCTGGATTTGTCCTAGAAAATACTAAACTAATTTTAGCTGGTGCTGGTATAGGGCATACCATTAGAGAAGATGAAAATCACGTTAGCTGACATCTAAAAATTTATAGAATTTTTTTATAATACTAGTTAGCCGACATTTTTAATTTTTTTTATTAATTGATTTCTAACTAAAAAATATTTTTTAAAAATTGCACTTATAGTTTTTTAAGTTTTTTAGAAATGAAATTTTTTTTTTTTTAATTTTTTTGTACTAATTTCTTTAATTAAAAAAAAATTCTAAAAATTTTTAAAAGTCGGCTAACTTAATTTTCATAATTTTTTTTTTATTAAAAAAAATTTTTTCTCAATTTTATTTGTAAAAAACTCTTTATTAAATTTTTTAAAAATATTTTTTTGTACTAATTTATTCCAAAAATATTTTTTTGTTCTAAATTATTAAAAAAAATTTTTTTAATAATTCTATTTGTAAAAAACTTTTTATTGAATTTTTTAAAAATATTTTTTACTCCTAATTTAATTATAAAAATATTTTTGTAATAAATTAGAAGAAAATTTTATTTGTAAAAAATTTTTATTAAATTTTTTTAAATAATTTAATTATTAAAAAAAAAAAATCAAAAAATGTCGGCTAACTTTAGTATTATTTAGAGAAGTGTCTCCATGAGGAGTCAAACATTTTCTGAAAACATCATACTCATACATGCATCAAGTGTTAGATTTTACACACGTATCTATACATAGATTCTTATATTAAATATTTAACATAAATACGTGGATAACTCACAGAGAAGTAGAAGGTGCTATCAAAATAAATTTTTTAAAATAATTAGAATAAATTCTGTTCAATATAGGGCGTAACACCCACACTCTGCTTCATAAAACTCTCTTCTATTCTTCCTCTTTTTTTTTTTCTCATTCTCATTCTCATATATACACATATATATTTATACACTGCAGCCTTTACTCATGTGCGGCATACCATTCAATGTAGTAAATAATTATTACACGTTGATTGTGCTAAAATAATTTAATGTACATGACTATATACACACGCTGCACAGGTGGATGTCATAATATTTAATTAGTATTAACACGTACGTATATGCGAGGACAATAAAAATAAATTAATGATTTAAACGGTAGCCGGTTGAAAAAATATTAATTAATATTGTTTACTCACCCATTGTCACTAGATTATTATTTTAAAAATGTTAACACAATTATTTATTCCGGGTCCAGTGAAATTCCAATTTATAATAATAAGATACGCCTAGGAGTATCTTGATAGAACGGTTGGTCCAACTGTTGTAATCCAACAATCACAGTACTTTTTTTTATCGATGTTTAGTTTAATATTATGTCCTGACAACTAGCTCGATTTTTGACTACTAACAGTCTTTAAGATTAACACTCATACTTCTGATGCATGATACTGTACACTGGTGAGCTCTGTGCTCTCTCAGTTCTCGCTTTACTCGGAATAATTAGCTATTACGAGAGAGCTGAGAGAGAGATTACGCTGCACGTCACTCCAAGATTTTTTTACTGTCTCACTCGCTCGCTGGTTTTATTAGTGCTGCCACGAAGCGAGGGGAAATTGTAGGAATTATAGCGGGAATTACTGACTGTCGCGCTGGAAGTTTTTTTTAAATTGTAGTTACTATTCCTGAAGTTAGATCTAGAGTGGCGCTAGTGTTATTTTCTTGGTTGCTTTAGTATAATTGCGGTTGCTAATATTGCTAATATGAAAATTAAGTTAGCCGACATCTAAAAATTTTTAGAATTTTTTTTTTATTAAAAAAATTATTACAAAAAAAAATTTCATTTGTAAAAAACTTAAAAAACTGTACGTGCAATTTTTAAAAAATATATTTTTGTTCTTATTTAATTAATGAAAAAAAATATAAAAATCAAAAACGTCGGCTAACTTTAGTATTATGCTAATATTTACGATAGGATTAACATGAGATATTCAACAATTTGAAGGTATCATTTTTTTTTTAATTAATCACAATACTTTTTTCTTTTTTTCAATTAACTAATCCATCTATTTTTTTTTCTAGATAAGACAGAAGAAAAAATTTTAATAGTTTATCAGATAAAAATTAAGTTAGCCGACATTTTCAATTTTTTAATTATTTTTTATTTATTAAATAAAAACTAAAAAATATTTTTAAAAAATTGCACTGATAGTTTGCCAAGTTTTTTACAAGTGAAATTTTTTATTTTCTTCTTTTTGTAATAATTTTTCAATGAAAAAATTTCTGAAAGTTTTTAGATGTCGGCTAACTTAATTTTCAAGTTTATCAGGATAATTATTTTAAAATATTTACTTTAAAAATTTTGTTAATTTTCAAGATTATTAAAATATGTCAATAAAGTTTAACAGTTAAACCTTAACTTTTCTACAAATTACTATAATAATAGCAAAATAAAAATAACCTTATGTTTCATTAGCGCTGCCACGACCCTGATAGCCACCTTACCTATAACTTACTGTCAATCTACGTTCGCATAGGCTTACGCTACTGACGCTAGGTCTACAGTGGCGGTAGTGTCTTTCTGGATTGTTTTTAGTGCAAATCTGGCTTTGTATTTTATTTTGACACTTGACAGTTTAATAATAAAAAATTATGTTGACATTAACAATTAATTTATTTATTAATTAAATTTTATAATTTAATTATTGTAGGATTTATTTAAATAATAATATTATAGGTAATTTTGTTTTAAATTGTTGGGAAAATTGATTGAACTTGAAGAAGTAAGAGATACGTGAGCTAGGATAGTGAAGTTAATAATTAAACACTAAAAATGTTTTTAGAATTTTATAACAGTGTAATTATTATAAAAAAAATTATTAGTGAAAATTTAATTAATTTCCAAAAATTTTTTAAATTAACAGCTGACAGCTAACTTCAGTGTCATAATGTGTTATTATTTTGACAGGTCATTGTTGTAAAATGTTTTAAATAATTTTTTATGATGAAATATTTGCAAATAATTTATTTTAAGTGATTAGTTCTTTAATAAGATATAAATTGATGATAATAATAATAAATTTAGTCGACATTTTTGATTTTTTTTTGCTTAATTTATTAAATTATAACTAAAAAATATTTTTTAAAAATTGCACTTAGAGTTTTTAAAGTTTATAACAAATGAAATTTTTTTTTTTATTATTTTGTGATAATTTTTTTATAAAAAAAAATTCTAAAAATTTTTAAATGTCGGCTAACTTAATTTTCAACAATACTGAAGTTAGCTGACAGCTGTCAAATTTTTTTAATTTTTGCAACAAGTTAATTACAATTTAAAAAATGCTTCTCAATTTTTTTTTTTTTTATTTTTATATGTGGAATTTTTTTATGACCTTTTTTTTTTTATAATAATTTGATTGCTATAAAAACTCTAAAAAAATTTTAATGTCTGTCAACTTCATTATCATAATTTTCACCTTAAATTTAATTTGTAAATAATTCTTTATTTTTATTTTTACTAAAAAATTTATTATAATTAATCTTCGATTTAATTAAAATAAAAAACTAACAATCATTTAATTTCAGAATTGATTAAAAGTAACAAGTGGCGCTTATAAATCACGCGAAATATTCGCACTATCACAATCAACAACTTCATTTACCTCGTTGGCGTTGTAAAAACAATTCGTGCTCCAAAAACGGCGTAAAAATAACCAAAACTGTCTCACAAAATAAATCGCGCTCCAATTAAAGCGATTAATTAATAAAACTAAATAAATTTGTGCTGTCACTTGACTAAAAAATAAAATAAAAAATCGCCATGCAAGTTCAACGAGGTTACACCAACGTTAAGAAACACGTGATTTTATACCAATGGCAAATAAACGAAATAAGTTCCTACATAGAAAAGTGTGATGACAACACCGACCAAAATATATTCCTGGAGTCTCCAAGGTTCGCAGCAGGAAGTAGCCTAGAGAAGAGATGGAACCTGGAGTTAAAATCAAGCCCGAAGGACGTTCAATCAGTGGATAAAAAATGGCTGTCAATATTTCTGATGCTTTCTACGGAATCAAGCGTCGAAGCGAAAACAAAGTACCTGTGTTTTATTTTAAACCACAAAAATGAAAGAATTAAAGTTAAAAAGTTCAGCAAAACATTCACAGGTGTTGGAGGTTGGGGGAATCGTAAATTCCTGGAGACGAATGAGCTGCTGGAGAAGAAAGATGAGCTAGTACCCAACAACACACTGACTATCGGCATTGAACTCACCGTCTTTGATAGCTTCACGACCATCTCCAACAGCTTGGCTGCCTTAACAAGCAACCACGCTAGCTTGGCTGATGATTTCAAAAATCTGTTGGACAGCAAGATTGGCAGCGACGTCGTTCTGTCGGTGAAGGACCAACTTTTCAACGCACACAGGTCTATTTTGATGGCTAGGAGTCCAGTCTTCTCAACGATGTTCTCTCTGGAGATGAAGGAACGGAAAGAAGACAGAGTCAGTATTACAGACATTGATCCAGAGATCTTCAAAAGCCTGCTGGAGTTCATCTACACTGACGATGTCTCCAACCTGGAGGCCATTGCTGAGGACTTGTTGGAGGTGGCTGATAGGTATATGGTGGATTCTCTTAAAGCCAGGTGTGCTGAGACTCTTTGTCAGTCGCTCACTGTTGACAATGCTGTCAAGTTACTCATGCTTGCTGAGAGGTACAACGTCAAGGAGATGCTCGATCTAGTCTCTGAGTTTATTTTGACCAATGCCAAGAGTGTCATCGAAACCCCGGATTACAGTGTCATGGAGAAGTCGAATCCTTCCTTAGGACTGGTTTTATTAAAAAAATTTGCTCACTTTAATTCTGATCCAGCGACGTGATTTTTTTTTTTACAAGTAATTTATTTTCATTTATTTATTTATATTTTTTTAAAAAAATTAATTACAAAAAAAAATACTTAAAAAAATTTCCACTAATAGTTTTTTTTTTAATTTTTTACATGTGGAATTATTTTATTGAATTTTTATAAAAAAATTAATTACATAAAAAAGCTTTAAAAAATTTCCACTATTAGTTTTTTTTAATTTTTACATGTGGAATTTTTTTATAGAATTTTATTTTTTTTCTTAATTCCAGTTTGGTAATATTATTTTTTTTTTTTTTTTTTTTTTTGCAGGTTCTATGGACAATTATGAAATCATGTGCTAGGAAAAATATAACAATAGTTGTAAAAATTATCATTAACCTTTAGGATAAATTTTAAATGATGGCAAAGGTAATAAATCCTTTAGGCAATGACAGAAATCAGATGATTTTCTATTTTTATATGTAAGTATTTTATAAGATGAAATAACGATGGTTACATTGACCATAAAAAAATATAATGTAAATTAATAAAGATAGAATTTAATTCTATTAATTATTAAAAGCTAGTATTATGATTTTATAATTATATTTTTGTATGAAATACTTTCATTTTTGTATGTAATTATTATTATTCATTATAAATAAAATAATTAGTAATTATTATAAATACCTTGTCTAATAAATTTCATTTTATTAACAATTAAAAACCAATTATTTTGTATCCAATATTTGAATTTATCTGTATTAAAATTGTTACTCCTTATTTTTCTTTCGAAGAAGATATAATTTATTAATAAAAATATTTACGAAATTTTTAAGACCTAGTTATGATAATATTTAGTTAAAGTTTAAGCCATATTAGGTCAAGGACTAGTAGATGTTTCTTTATTCAAGCCCAAAGATGGATGGTCCATCTTCCCTTTTGTTCGAGAGCTATATATTCTCTCTTTCCATTAGTTCGATGGTTATCAATCGAACTTGAATACTAGTAAAGCTAGAAGCTTGTGGTATCTGTTCGAGTTATGTAAATGTTCATTAAGTGAAAGAAAATTTTTTAATAAGAGTAAAGACAGACTAAAAAAATAATTGGGGTTGGTGTCCAAGCCAGGAATCGAACCTGGATCTCCCTGATAACATGTCAGGAGCTCTACCAGTGTTAAGCTACCGGGTCCCCTTCCATCACAATCACCTTTCACAGTCCTCTCTTTTTACAATTCGTGCTCCAAAAACGGCGTAAAAATAACCAAAACTACCTCACAAAATAAATCGCAGCTCCAACTAAAACTAAATAATTTTGTGCTGTCACTTGATTAAAAAAAAAAATAAAATATCGCCATGCAAGTTCAACGAGGTTACAACAACGTATAAAGAAGCACGTGATTTTATACGAATGGCAAATAAACGAAATAAGCTCCTACATAGAAAAGTGTGATGACAACACCGACCAAAATATATTCCTGGAGTCTCCAAGGTTCGCAGCAGGAAGTAGCCTAGAGAAGAGATATGGAACCTATAGAGTTAAAATCAAGCCAGAAGGACGTTCAATCAGTGGATAAAAAATGGCTGTCAATATTTCTGATGCTTTCTACGGAATCAAGCGTTGAGGCGAAAACAAAGTACCTGTGTTTTATTTTAAACCACAAAAATGAGAGAGTTAAATGTTAAAAAGTTCAGCAAAACATTCACGCAGGTGTTGGAGGTTGGGGGAATCGTAAATTCCTGGAGACGAATGAGCTGCTGGAGAAGAAAGATGAGCTAGTACCCAACAACACACTGACTATCGGCATTGAACTCACCGTCTTTGATAGCTTCACGACCATCTCCAACAGCTTATTTGGCTGTCTTAACCAGGAGCATCAACGCTCGCTTGCGGCTGATGATTTCAAAGGTTCAGCGATACAGACGATACTCCAAGCAATCTCCAAGGCCCCAAATGTTGACCTGCTAATTAAGCGGATTCTAAACACAATACAACTTGATTGTCAGCATGGATCCAAAAAAGCGTAGAATAAATAAGCATAAGTATAGTAGTAAAACTATTAATAATAGCTTAAATAAGTATTATTCTTTATTCAGAACCTGGCTTAAGCCTAAAGTTAAAAATGTTAAAATGTTAATTGTTGCGTAATTGTGATATTAAGGATAATGTATTTTAAATATTATTGTTTTTGCTTTATGCTCTGTTTGTTTTCTTATGTTTACAGTGGTCCGATTTACGTCAAGCGAACTTCAATATTATGTAGTTTTTATTGAGGGACCGGTCCAGGAATGGCATCCTGGTCAAATTTCGCAAGGTCTCTGAAATATTGGCCTGGATAAAGAATCCCGACGCTTCCCTGCCACGCCGGACTTACCCTTTTACGAAGGTCGTGGTTATAATAATAATAATAATAAGGAAGTTTTCTTACAGGATTAGCGAAACAGATGGTCTTGAAATCACTGAGACAAGTAAAAATGTCTCAGAGATGAAGCATATCCTGGACGAAGTTCGTGATGGTGTCCACGCGCGTAGAGCAGCAGATTCGCATCAGGTTCCTCTGTATATACTTTACAGCCGTATCTGAGCTGATGGAGCTCGAGGAGAACCTCAAAAACGTCTTCGATATCCACACTTTGTTTTCTTTTGTGGAGCGTGTCAAAAAAGGACCATGGACATCGTCCATGAACACCGGAACAATCCTCTCCTCGCTGCACTTGGCACTTGCAGCAGTGATTCGGAGGGATATGTTTGAACACTTAGTTCTGAGGCGCCTCTCCAGACAAGACCAGCGGCGGTTCATTGAGGATTGCCGTTTTTGGAACGTGATACGCGGTAATTTCAAGATTTTTTAAGTAAAAATTATCTTAAATAAATGCAGATGGCTGGCAGATCGTTGGCTGTCTGCCAAAAAAAAAAAGCAAAATAAAGAATTAAATGTTTTTTTTATTTAGTTAATTATTCTTCTTTATTTTTTTTTATCTAGTCAAAATCAAATGTTGATTGTTAACATACATAGACGTACATATCTGAGCTCCACATTTTGTTTTATTTTGTGGGGCGTGTCAAAAAAGGACCACGGATATCGTCCATGAACACTGGGACAAGCAGCGGTTTACTTTACGCCAAGAACCCCAATATGACGTAGTGTTTATTGAGGGGCTGTTCCTAGACCGTTCCTCAATAAAAACAAAATGGAGATAAAATTCCGGTCTATCCCGAAAACCCTTGTCTGGATTACAAATCCTCGAAGCTCGAGACGCACCTCAATAATGATATCGATCTCCGTACATTGTTTGTAGTTTCAAATTTATAAATATATATATAATATTAATATTAATATTAATTAAAAATTTCACACAGAATATATTTATTTTTACTCACAACATATTTTATTTTATTACTATATTTTTTACATCTTATTTACTAATCAAATTTTTTTCTAAATAAGCTTTATAGAAATTTCGACGAATAAATAAATAACAAAATTTATTTACAAAAATTATTTTTTAAGCCATTATTAATACCAATTAATTAATTATTAATAAAATTACTTAACATACATATCAAATATATGTTCTTAAAACATTGAGATATCAGATCACCAACAAATCATTAATACGTCGTAATTCTCTCTTGAAAAAATTCCTAATGCGTTCTCCAACCTTTCCCTTTATGCATCAGCTTTATCGGCAGGTCCAGCAAATTTGTCTAAAAAAAAAAAAAAACCCAAAAATAAGATCTCAATTTCAAGTATCAACTAAGAGAAAAAAAAAAAATAATTTACCTTCAATCTTAAGAGCCGAAAAATTTTTGAAAATCATCAGAGCCAAGCATGGATTCGCAGCCTCCATCAATTTGTATCCTTCAGTTTGAATAACAGTCTCAGCATTGATCCTAATGTATTCAGTGACATACTTGAACATTATTTCAGCGTTGAGACGATCAGCAAGAAGAATCATCCTCGCTGCGTTTTCAATATTAACAGACATGCAGAGTTCTTCAAGACAAACTTGCTTGAGAGTTTGAATTTGGTATTTATCAGCAACTTCCACCAAGTCTTCAGCTACGGCATCCAGGTCAGCGACTCTGTCAGTGTACATGAACTCCAACAAGCTGTTGAACATGTCAGGACTAATATCCGGGATGTTAATAACATGTTCTTTGTTCTCTTGCATGTCCGAGCTCAGCATGGCTCGAAATACAGGACTACGAACCATCAGCACGAGCTTGTGTGCTTGAAATTTTTTCTCTCCGACAATGAAAGTTACGTCGGCGTCCATTTTGGTGTCAAAAAGATCCTTGTAGTCGTTGGTCATCAATCGCTTTGACTCGTTAAATGGAGGAGAAGTAGAAATTGTCCAATAATCATCAAAGACAGTGAGCTCCACTCCCAATGTCAGTGTGTCATACGTTGCCCATTCGTTTTTCTTCTCCAGCAGCTCACTTTTAAGAATGAATTTTTGATAACCTAAACTCTGATGGGCGTCATACACCTTGCTGAATTTATGCACATTGACTCGCTCTCTTTTTTTGTTTAAAATAAAATAAACAGCTTTTGTTTTTATTCTTCGCTCGGTATTCAATGAACGCAGAAATATTGACACGTAATTTTTTACCTCTGTTGACTGGCCGTTGAATTTTAAATGAAGCTGCCATAAATCTTTGACGTGAGAATCGGCTGAAAATTTCGGAGAAAAAAGAGATTCACTTTCTATGGAATTATACGAAGAATTTATGTAGGAACTCATTTCATTTATTATCCACTCGTAAATAACAATGTGTTTTTTTACAATTGTATAACCTCTTTTCTTCTTTATAATGTTTGACATTTTTATTATTTACTTTTTTTTACAAATTAACCACGATACTTAGCACTTTATTAATGTATTGTTTTAAATTTTTTTTTTATAAATAATTACTCAAATAAAATACTATTAATTTTCAAAATTGTAAAAACTTCACTAGAGTCCACGTGTGTTTACTTAAAATATTTGTGTTTATTTACATTTTTTTTTTTCCCTTACGCTTCTCTACAGCAGCGCTGCCTGGTAGTATATTTTTTAATTAACTCCAATAACCAAGCTGCCAAGCTGCCAAGCTGCCAGTTGGATTTGGATCAGATCTCTTGCTGGGAAGCAAAATAGATTTTAGATTATTCTTTGATGATTCATCTATCTTGAAGTTAAAAAATAAACTATCTACTAATTATATTTATTAAAAAGTTGGAAGTGTTGAAATTAGTAGTTGGTCTTAGTCTCTTGGTAAATATACTGTCATTCATTCAAAAATTTAATTAGCCAACATCTAAAAATTTTTATAATTGATTTTATTAAAAAAATTGTTACTAAAAAATTAAAAGAAAAAATTTCCCATGCAAAAAATTTAAAAAATTATACGTGCAATTTTTTTAAAGCATTTTTTACCATTAACTAGAATTCAATTTGCGCGCGCAAGCGCGCACCTCATATTTGTTGTCATGATATATTTATGTGTCGTTTATGTATATTATATTCACTTTTAACCAATCAGAATAAGAATAAATATTTTCAACCAATCACATCACGAATAAATTGGTTTCACGTACATTTCATCTCTATTTTATTATGGGATAATAAAAATTTACAATTCGTACCAACTTAAATCTCGCGTTGGCTGCATTTTTTATAGCAAACTATTCCCTTAAAGCTACAGTTTATGTAAAAATAATTCCAGCGCACCCTGGCGGGTATAGATGCAAGCTGTGAAATATCTTTTTTTAACTGTAGTTTCCCATCTAATGAAGGATTACTATGCATTCTCGAATTATTTAGTCTGTGGCAGATCACTTTGCCCATCGAAAAAAAGTCAGGATCGAAATTTTTGCGTTGCTATAGTTTGTGCTGATCAAATTTAATAATTTCAAGTAGATTAATTGTTATAAGTGAATATAATTAATTAATAACAATAAAATAAAGTATGAATTACTGTTATAATATACAATTTAGTAAAAAAAAAAAAAAAAAGTAACCGTAAGAATTAAATAAAATTTTTAAGCAACCTCAAAACTAACCGTCTGCTTACAGTAAACACAGTCGGTAGTCTGGCGCGTCCGTTGACAACGGATTTGAACGGAACTTGGCGCCAGATTCTACCGAATCTGTGAATTTAA